CAGGAGCCCATAGCCTGTAGGATGCAGCCCGACCACGGAGAATGAGGGAGTTTGCAGACCTGCGTGGGTTGGTCACCACCCCTAGGCCCTCAGGTTTCTGACCCCTTTCTCCACTCTCACATAAAGCTGTCACTGTCACTGCACCCACAGCACACACAACACGCACATACCTCCCGACACGCCAAGAGTAAGGAGTCACCATCTTGGTGAGCATGTTTAAAATGTGACCAATCTCCAGCTCCAAAGCCATAAGGCCAAGGGGAGCCTGAGAGGCATGAGGAAGGTGAACCGACATGCAGGCCTGAGAGCGTCCAGCAGGGAGGCCCCAGCAGGACCCGCAGGGCGCCCACAAGAAGCAGGGCGCTCGTTTCATCAAACCGCATGGCCGGAGAGCGCGGCAGGTCTGCTGTTCTCCTTAATTAGTCCAGCCCCTAAAGGAAAAGTGTAGCTGACGGGGCAGGGGCCTCACCTGCTGAGCACAATTGGAACAACAAATACTTTTGCAGCGCGACCAGGAAGCCCGAGCGCATTTTCTTTACCCTGGCTCTGAGCTGGGTATTCATTAGAAACCCCCTCCAACCATGACATTCAAGAGAACTGACGGCTACTGCCCAGAATAGCAAGGCATCAGCCTGTGGGTTCTTCCCTTTCCCCAGTAAGTGAAACCCCAGGCCATCTGCAGCACAAAGTGTCAACACCAGAGGCAGGAGGGGTCTGCTGGACAAGAGGCTGCGCCCACACCCAGGCCTTCCCGGCGGTGGATGGGAAGGGAGCGCAGCACTGTGGGCTGTGCTTTCTGAGCACAGCACCGTTTCCATACCCACAGCAGATTTTTTTTTAATTGAAGTATAATGTAAATACAGTAAAGTGCACGAAGAGCTTGAATCTTAAGGGCACAGCTCATTGAATGTTTGCATCTGTAAAGCCCCATGTAGCCATCACTAGACAGAAACACAGAACCGTCCCAGCATCTCCCAAGGCTCCGTCACGCTCCCTCCCAGTCAGCACAGCCCCGGCCTGCCCCACAGACGAGGCTGCAGCTGTCTTCATCGCAGTGTACTATTCTACTGCAGACAGAGATCGCAATTTATTTCTCCTTGCCTGATGTATGGACTACTTCTTCCAGTTTGGGGCTACTATGAATAAAACTACCATGGATATTCTTGAACATATCTTTTTCAAAAATAACAGTCTTACCGAGATATAATGCACATACTATAAAATTCGCCCTGTTAAAGCATACAGTTCTATAGTTTTTAATATATTCACAGAGTTAAGCAACCATCACCTCGAATTCTGTAACACTGATCGTGTCTTGTTGTGGACGTACATCTTCATTTCTCCTGGGAATAGACCTCGCAGTGGGATTGCTGGCTCATAACATAGACCTTGTTTAGCTTTAGTGTTTTCTAAACCACAAATGTTATTCCACGTCCTCACCAACACTTGGTATTGTCAGGCTCTGTAATGTTAGCATTCTGCTGGGTATGCAGTTCCACATCAGATTTAATGCCACTCTGTCTCAATGCTCCATTTCTCATAACTAACTTGGTACAGATTGAAAGCCAGAATTCCCTCGCAAGAGACCCATCCAACAACCTGGGGCTGCTGCTTTTATTTTAATAAACACCTGGGTAGGACTTCCAAACTGTCAGATAAAATGAGAAATCAGGTTCCCGGAGTAACTTGAAAAATTAAAAAAAGTACTTTCAAACATATGGCACTCCTTGAATCTGATCATTTTAAATGTCTCTTGATATCAGAACGAATGGGAAAATGGAACCCAGCAGAAGCGAAGGCTCTCTGTCGACACAGAGCAGCAGCTCTCAAACTGCAGCCGATCCCAAAAGGCAAACAGCATTTGCAACACCTGCAGTCCCAAACCCTAACGCTTTAAGGGCAACAGAGGAGTGCCAAGAGCTCTGAATGCTGGGGCCAACAGCAGCCAATATTGGCCACTGGGAATAACAGGGCCGACACCACTTACAGTAGGACTTCTAAGGTGGGAATGCAAGGCCTGAAGTCAGGAGAACAGCTGTTCCTCTCACCTGAAGAAAGAAATACATGTTCACAGATGAAAATCCTCCTTTGGGGTAGTAGGCGGCAAAGCATGGTAACAACAGGGGATCGGATCACTGAAACCAAAGATTTCTAATTCCAAGAAGATAAATCTAACACAGTGTGAGAAAAAAATACCATCTTTTTTCTTGATGGGAGAGGACAGTCATTGTATGAAGGACTAACTGGAGGCTAAAGACAATGACTCCTGATTCCACTTTCACTAAAAAATTTAAGAGGTACTTTAACAGTCACCGAATCCTTTGCTGTCCAAATTGTGCATCTGGAAAAGACTGGCCCTTTACACTCTCTTTAGACAGCATGTACGGACAGCCAGGCCCTCTGCTGGTTGGGGATATAACCTTGAGTGAGAGGCACCCTGTCTTCCTGAGGCTCCCAGGCTGGCACCCAGGCAGGTGGTCAGGAAGGACAGGGATGGGATTATTACTGTTATTTTTCTAATTAGCCTGATTCTTACTCTTACTTTTAGGTGAGGGAAAGAGGGCATTTTATTGATCAAATCTTGACTGCTCACCTACCATATTCTGGGCTAAACATAACCACACACATGCAAATTGTGCAGAAAGACATAAAGCCCCAAACAGGGCATAATGGCCTGAAGTGAGGCAGGACCCAAACGAGACAGCATTCTTCTAGGGGACAGATGTGACCGTGGACCTGCTCCCCTGGGTAACCCCCGTCTTCCCCCGCAGAAGTCACACGACAGGAAGACAGACGTGGAAACATAGCCAGGGAGGGCCTGTTCCCCACACCGCCTCCCCTACAACGCCCCCAGAATACACAGAAACAATCAAGTACAATTACAGTCTCACAGCTAGCTCTGTTTACACGGTACCAGGCAATTCACTGTTGACTGAAAACACTTTTCTCGCCACGTATTTGACTAACTTACCGGCTATTTTGGAGTCACATAAACAAACACAGCCTGCTTGTACTTAAGTGTCTGGCCTTATAGTCAGACGCAGTCTACTTATATATAAACAAAAACAACCTCAAAAGTCTTAACCTAAAGAGCAACTGGGTCAGTTCAAAGTGCTGATGTAGAATCAAGAGGAGAAAAAGCAAGTCTGGACTACTTTTGTAAGAAAGGAGAGAAATTTTAAACAGGAAAAAATGTGCAAATGACTTTTTAGACTTTAAACAAATTCCACTTTGGGGGATAAAACAGGGGAACAAACGTCGGGTGGCCCCCGGTGGAGTACCTGGAGCTCCTGGAGTGCCAGGCCACCAAGATGTCTCTGAGACACTATAGGATAGAATAATTAATTTCACAAAGTCACACCAGGTAACTATCTACTAAAAGTATTTCAAATCCACATGTCATTCCGCTCTCTCATGCATCAAAACTTATCTTCCCCATAATAAAAGTCTGCTCATTTGGATTTCCCGAGAACGCTTTCATTTTATTAGCTTTGACTGCTGCGGCTCAAGCTCTCCTGACACAGGTGCGGGTTCTGCCCACGGTCTGCCCTCTGGTTTGGGCAGGGACACGGCCTGAAGAGCTCTTTGCTGATTACTCGAGGTCTGGCCACACCCTGAGGAGCTTAGCTCAGGTATAGGGATGGAGGGTTCTTATAAGGAAAAGCAAACTGGAACAGAACAAATGGCACAATTAAGGAAAGGAGTACGCGCATCACAAGAGCACTATCGGGGCCGTGGAAGGGACTGCACGAGATACATGCAGAATTCCACCTTTATTTCTGATGGGAGGGCTCGAACCTGCAAAGGTGTGTGATCTAAGATCAGCGAACTTGAGGATTCACTGGGTACTCATTTATCCAACAGCTCCCCACCACGATCCAAGCACTCACCAGTTCATGCCCCAACGAATGGAGGCTTTGCAAACTTCCCCAATTAACTGGTTTTTGTGTTGCAAAAATCACTTTAATTTTAGTTATTTTAAGTTATCTTGGATACTAACAGCACCCATATAAGCCTTGGAATCAGGAAATTTACAGAAATTCAGGGTATTTCCTCAGTAAATGAACCAAAGCAAATTCATTCAGGTCAAGAGTTGTGAAACCCAGAATTGTTATCATATTTTTGCAGCACAGAACATAGCGATGATCAATGGCACTAAAAATAGCCCAGAAAAAATTAGGATTTCATAATCGGAAACAAAAACAACAACCTTATCCAAAATAGCAAACTGTCCATTAATATCACTTGCTTTCCTGTGAATTATTTTGACAATAGGAAATGGAATTTACATTTTTTTTCTTTAATCCAAAACTGTATTTCCCTTCCCATGTGCTCTCTGGGAAAACCTGTTCATAAACGAAAAATTCCCAGATAACTTTTCTGCTGACTGTTTCCACACAGCTCAACAATAACACAGCGGCTCCTTCACTTGCCACAGCCTGTTCCTGTCGCTTCAACAGTGATGTCATGGAAAGACATTGACATGCTGTTATTACTGCCCGGCTAGAGACTGTAAAGGAAATTATGCTGCTGCCTCTAGGTTTTAATTTTCCATGAAAAATTATTCTCATTGCCATAGCTACTTAGACTGTAAAAAAGAAAAATGATTTAATTAGGAAACAGCCATAATTAGATTTTTTAAGCACGCTCTTTCAACATAAAAAGTTACATTACAGCACAGCTTCACCAGATTTAATGATTTATTTTCATCAGACCATTCCAGAACACACTAAGGTGCTGAATAACAACCGAAGGAAGAAAATAAAAGGAATACTAAACTGCTACACAGAAAGTTATATATTCCAAAGTCGGGGGAGGAGTCTTAAGCAGCTGAGAAGAGAGAAGAAATTCAGAGAGTGAACCGAGGGGAGAAGCCTGCCCTTATGAATGATCCCCCTTTCCCATCCAGGAAGTGTGAGGAGACAGCAACAGGCTCTCTACACCCGACAGAGAGTGACAATGATGATGAGAGGGATAAGGACAAAGGAAAGGGAGTCATTGTGTTCGCTTCAGCAGCACAGGTCCTAAAATTAGGAAAATACTGAGAAGATTAGCATGGCCCCTGAGCAAGGAAGACATGCAAATTCGTGAAGCATTCCATATTTTTTGTAATTATGTGAGATGACGCATGTTAACTAAACTTATTGTGTTGATCATTTCGCAGTCTATACAAATATCAAATCATTATGTTGTACATTCAAAACTAATACAGGGGCCGGCCCAGTGGTACAGCGGTTAAGTGTGCATGTTCTGCTTTGGTGGCCTGGGGTTCACCGGTTCGGATCCTGGGTGTGGACATGGCACCACTTGGCATACCATGCTGTGGTAGGCATCCCACATGTAAAGTAGAGGAAGATGGGCATGGATGTTAGCTCAGGGCCAGTCTTCCTCAACAAAAAGAGGAGGATTGGCAGCAGTTAGCTCAGGGCTAATCTTCCTCTGGAAAAAAAAAAACAAAACTAATACAATGCTGTATGTCCATTATATCTCAATAAAACTGGGGTAAAAAGAAGTAAGTAGTAACAGGGTAGGAAATAGAAGGAGGAACAGCTAACACTCTGTTCAGTATAGACTTGACCTAATAAAAGTAAAACTGATGGGTATCGTAACTACACTCCTATGGTTTTTATTTGGTCTGTTCATGTGTGTGTGCACACGTGTGTGTATACATGTACATGCCAGAAATTGCACCTAAGAAGTCTGATTCCAGAACCTGAAAGATCTGTGTACTTGTCACTTCCTTGGAAGCTCAAGGGATCATTCAATGTTAAGCCTTGGAACTTCCCTTCAAACATATCTAAAACAATTAAGAGGAGAGTAAAAAATTATGTTATTTAGAAGTCATAAAATCTCTGTATTCCATACTAAAAAGACATTAAGTGGCTTTTTTGTTTTAATTCTACCAGAAACAGCAAGAGTTTTACCAATGGTCTTGGAGACATTTTAAAATTCCAAACATCAAACTCTAACAGCATTTGTTGACACTGTTATAAGTTCATCCTATACTTAAAACAGGTTTAATTTTTTCTAGTAAACTGACACAGCCAAGACTCTTTCTTAGTTCAAACCTTGCGACAGGTCAACAGAAATGTCAACATGTCACTGAAAAAAGAAAGACATTATGCCTTGCTCCGGAGACCTGGCAAAACCGCCTGTGAGAAAGGCCGTCAAAACTCTATCAAGAGTTCTTCGTAAGATAAATCAACGGAGGCTGAAACTTACCAGCGGAATCTTCTCAACTCTTTCAGGAGAAACTCCTACACGGGAAGCACAGTTCAGGACTGCGGTCATGTTACTACACAAGGAGGTGTTGTTATGGAGACAGCTTTGAAGGCTCCCTGGCAATCCCAGGGTATAATTAAGGCCAGTGGTCACAGAACAGCCAGCAGGGTGGTCTCCTTGGAAACCATCAAACATACATTTTCACAGGCACAGCAACTGTTCGGAATCAATGACTCTTTACATAGGTTTAAAAACATTGTGAATGGTGCATCAATTGCCTCTTTTGTTAGATAACGTCTGATTTAACAAGCTGTGAGAGACCTTGTCCTCACGCATGCTGAATTCCGAGCAGTGCCTGGAGCAGGCAGTCCACAAACCATTCACTACCTAGGACCAGTGAATACAAATGATAAATTCAGACCCAGGAAATCACTGGTTAATTTGGTGAAAGAATTAAACCAGCGGTTGACGGAGCCAAGGAGGGTCTGCCAACTGCTGGCACTCGCCATTCTAGGGCTGTCTCAATATTATTCAACCCTCTCATTAGGGTGGACAGTATTATTATGTGTTTACGGGTGAGAAAATGAAGCACACACCTAGAGAGTGGCAGACCTGGGACTCAAAGTTGGGTCAAAATTAAGTCTTGGTCTGGGATTATATGACTCTACATAATGCTCTGTGTTTACATAGCACTTTGTCACTCTCCAGCTATTTTCACATACATTATCTATTTTCTGCTTTTACCTTGAAACATTCAGGGGCCCAAGTTCTAGAATCTTCTAATTTTGCTATATTTTACCCCTTCTTCCTCGCCTCCTTGCTCTACTTCTGCACTCACCACACACTGCAGGTTTGAAGCCTCACGTGGGGACCCTGTCTAAGAAGGCTTCCCCATCTTCCACCTGGAGGGCGAGAGCAGCATTCTACCCTAAGGAGCAGCAATGGGAAGGGAAGCCCCATGCCATAAGCATGAATTTTGACTGTTCAAACTCTAAATAAAAACAGGAACAAACATTCCAATCAAGCACTTGTAGTATTACACACAATTTTCCACGAGAGAAGGTGGAATTTAGTAAGAGGGATGGAAGAAGGTCAGTTTGCCGAGTGGTTTCCTATTTTATTCTGTTCGGTCCTATTGGAGACTTTAAAATCTGGCAAATGCTTTATTAAGTAGGCACTGATAATTAATGATATGGCTCTTTGCAGATCATCATTATACATAAACCTACAATTGAATGTAAACCTATCAGCATTTAGTCTTAAATATCAGATACAGTCAACACTGTCAGAGCACATTAGAATCAGAACATTTTTGAGCTATCTTTAGACACTAGTCCAGACTCCTTGCCTTACAGATGAAACAGCTGAGGACTAGAGGGGCTCAGCACACAGCGACCAAAGCCAACAGTGAGTACTTTTCCCCCTGAAACTTCAGTCCCTCTACCACAAGGCTCATGGGAAAGCCTCCCTCCTATCTATCACTGCCCTTCAGAAAAAAGGCGTTCCTCTTTCTCTAAAGCCAGCCGCCAACCTCCTTCCACCTCCGTTGAACCTTGTTCTCCCAGTTTCCCCTGACTCTCCAGCATCTTTAAATCTCTCTGTAACAGGGTGTCTTCTAGTTTCATGCATGTCCTTCTTTTCCTAGAAAAGAAGTTATCTTCCCTAGATCAGCTCTCCCCCTGCCGACCCCCAATCACAATCTTCTATCCACTTCTTGTGCATTCTTGAGCATTTATGATCCATCTCTGCCCCACTCCCACCCCTGCCGTTTTACCAAAACTGTTTCCTCAAAGGCTAGCAATATCCTTGCTCTCGTCTTTTCTCAATCTGGTGGCATTTTGCTTTTACTCCTTAAAACGCTTCCTTAGACTTCCCCTCACTGAACTTTCCTGGTTCCCCCTCCCACCTCCTGGCTAGTACCTCTCTCTCCGCTCATTATTGGTCTCTGGCATCCAAGTATCTCTGAGGTAAGTCCTAGGCCTCTGCTCTGCCCAAATCCTTTCCCTCTCTCAGTGAGCTCATCGAGTCATTCATTTTCTTGATTTCAGCTTCATCTCCACAGGCGAGGCCCAAAAGGACATGCAGAGTTCTGAGCTCTCCCCTACATTTCACTCCATGTTTCCAACGCAAAACAGCTCCATTTAGATGTTTTTTCACCATCCACATTTGTTTAAAATATATTTCACTGGGTTTCCTCCCCAAGCATGTTCTGTCACAATCACCACTGTTGCTGGCTGTAATGCCATGGATCTCCCATGTGTCTAGCTGCAAACTTTGCAGCCATCTGTGATCTTGTCCATCCATCACTCCTAGCTCCACACTCTCACCACACACTCCCTCCTGTTCTAAAATGATGAGTCTTCGTCTTCTAATTGTTTTATCACATCACACCACAATTATAAGACAAATTCAATGATTAAAATTTAGTTTTCTTCAAATTGTCAGGCAAGTTGACCTTTCATCTTTATTCTTGCCATCACTACCTTGATTTGCTTCCCTTCTAAATGCTTGGAACACATTTCCAATCTGTTTAAAGCACCACTGCCATATTAACCTGCTTAAAACATTATTCACCTGTGGGCAGTCCCATTCAGGGGTTCACAGTGGTCTCTGTGGCGCGTTTCCCCTCACACCTCTGTACTCTGCTCCTCCTCTAGTCAAATTCATTTCCTCATGGTTCCCCACAGCATATCCTGACTTGGGGGCCCTGCCACTGGTCCTGGAGGCCCTCATTCCATTTTCCTACCTGTCCCAGGCAACCAGCGCTTGTAGGGGCCAGTTCAGTGGCTTTGCAGCCTCAGCCTACTCATAGAGATCTCCCTTCTTCCAACTCCTGAAGTCAGTGTCGTCCAGATAAGCAATGTTCTCTAATAGTCTCACCCTTGTCACTTCTACCTTCTGCTCTGGACTATAAGATGCCTCAGGCAGGCACTACCCATATACTAATGCATTCCCCCACCCCACATTCCAAAGGTTCCCTAATTAATGCTGACTGATGGGTAGAATCAGGCCCAAAAAGAGGGCCATTCAAAGAGAGACCATATACCTTGATATAAGACACTTCTAATACAACCAAAACGATAAGAATCCAGTACGTCTTAAAATCCCATGGAATAACAGCTGTTTCAGCAGGCAGTAAACTATGACACCGTTGGGGAAGGGACTGGGGGAGGCAAGCGAGACGCCTAGGGCGTGACATTTAAGGAGGCACTCATTCATTCTCAGGTGCCAACCCCACACTTCATGGCCCTGAGAGGGCCACCCTACTCCCTGCCTTGTGCACAGTAAAGATGAAACTCTAACAATCAAAAAACAAACTAAACCAAATCAAGAGACAGATTCTAGACAAGCTAAAGAAAAATTCTTTTCCCAGGGCTATAAAAAGAACAGACCAGAAAACCACGAACAGACTGGTTTCTGGTCTACTACTGCCTTCGGGGTCCTAAATGGTGGCAGCAACTATGGCATTAGCTTAAAGGAAGAAAGCACTCTATGGAGACAGCTCTGAAATGCGGAGCGAACACCGGATCCTTGGGACCCCAGCAGGCAGGTGCTGCTGTCTGGGGGTGCCTCTCCCTTCTGGCTCACCCTCAACACAAATGCACTCTGGCCTCAGGTGCTTCTTCCCAACGGATTCTGAGAATGCCAGTTGGTTTGAAGCTAACAAGGATGAGACACGGCACTAACTCAATCCAGGAAGAATTCTCATATGAGAACTTAACTTTCCTGGAGAAACCCACAAGCAGAAAAACTGAAAGTCACACCACATTTTCTTTATACGTCTACACATTTCACTGCTTTTCTCTTAAATTTATTCAATTTTTCCTGAATCTGTGCTTTACAAGTGGGGAGGGATCCCAAGATTTTATGAAGATGCAGTTAGAT